AGGAAGACGCTGAAGATTACAAATTAGATGGACAGTTCGACCCTGGTGGACCTTGTTATCAGAATGAGCACCGTCTTGAAAATGGGAATTTTCTCTCTAAACAATTCCGTGATTATAATGCTTCCCCCGGTTAAGTTATACAAAGATCTGCTGAAACAGGCGTAAAACGAAAGAAACTGCCACTGGATGAATACGTCGTAGAAATCAAGATTCAGAGAAGCCTGCCTGATAAAAATAGCAAACAAAACCTAGTTCATAATAGTAAACACCAAGAAGACTCCTTTACACCTGTCACTATGGAACATCGTACGGATATTCGATCCTGGAGAAACCTAAGGAGACGATACAGCTGATTAGTAAGATGAAGAATATATATATAAAAAAAAAAAAAAAAAAAAAAAAAAAATTAAATTAAATTACCTTGGATTGTATGTGGTCGCGCACGACAGTTGTACGTGGGGTTAAGGGGCGTATGACAAGGGTTTGACCCTTCATTTTGGATGTAGACGTGTTTTTTGTGTGTTGGAGTTTTTTTAAGTTTTTGTGACTTTTTGTTGTTTGAGTTCTGTTTTGTGTGTTTAGTTTTTAGTTTTTAGTTTTTTAGTTTTAGTATTTAGTTTTTCTATTTTAGTGTTAGTATATAGACTTTAGTTAGAAAAATATATATATATATATATATATATATGTTTTTATCTGTATTACTGAGTCAAAGAAGCTATATGATCAGGTGATCCCGAAGACTAACGTATTAGATTTTTCACGAAACATGAAAAATTAAGATGGGGAGAATTGTCACTGGCAAAACTACGTGCAAAAAGAATCTAAAAATTATGTGGAATTCTGCACGTTAGAAGCACGAAAACGTTATACAAGCATCATCGAACTGCAGTGCCCCGGGACCCACATTTTCACTCTGATGATCATATGCAAGAAACCTGCTCAAGCCAAGACCTCCATAATAAAGCATTAAAAATGATGATTGTATGAAAGCCAAGCCTCCATCAATGATCTCATTGAAGCAGAAGACACTTACCCAATTCGGTATGACAGCTGTTAAGGTAATATTACCTTGTCAGGTAAGGTGTGTGACCGTGAACGTTAAAAGCACATGAATCGATGGGAGAGTCAATGAAATGAATAAGCAAAATTGACGGGTAAAGAACGATGATGGTGTAAAAACATTCATTCAACGTACCTTCTTTTTGCCTTCTTTTCCAGCCGTCAAACGTTTCAATGAGAATGGCTGTGATTAAAGGTTGGAATTAGACCTGAAAAGAGTTAAATGGCGTGAGTGCGATGACTGTTCAATGAGAAGAGATGGGAAAAGTATTCGATCTTGATCTTTTTTCTTGCCCTGTAAAATTTGTTATAAATAAGAGAACAAATTCCTCTTGTTCGAACAGTAATTGAACCAGTATATATACAATTCGCTCTAAAAACATAAAAAAATTGTTAATAAAAGCCCTCTCATAAACCTAAATCACAACGTTCATTAAAACTGTACCAACTTACTTACCTTAACGATACTTAATAGTCGCTTTAGATCCGTGCCAAATCGATATCCGCCTAACAACACTATTGAGTATTGTTAATTACCGTTCTCTCTCTTTATAAGCGTCCAACGGTCGTTTTCTTTCTTGTTAGTTAGTGGAGCGTTTAGTCCATTCACCCGCTAACAATATTCGTCATTCGCATTATTAAAAAAGACATAATGTATTCTATAATTTGATTGGTCGAATTTTGGGATGCTTATGATGATCATTGCTGTGCCGATAAGTGGATAAGTCACGTGTTTCTGTGTCCGTAGCAATCCCCTTGAATCAGGGACACGGAAATTTTTCGAAAGCAACTTTTCAAAAGAAAACAAAATTTTTTGCCCCAATCGAAATTTTTCACAATTTTTTGCTCCAAGTTACATATAAAAATAAATCACATGAAATGATATTATTGGCTCAAGACAAATGTTATCATGTGATTGAAATTCACAGCACAGCTAAGCCTCCGAAATTCGAAACAACCACGTGATCTTCATAATTCCAGCCAGAGTTACTTGACTTGAAGCTTAAGTTTAGCCAAATCGAAATAAATCGAAATTTTTGCTTAAATCGATCGAAATTTTTGGTTTAAATCGAAAGAATATTTCCGTGTCCCTGCCTTGAATAAACCGGTTTGTCCCCGTGACTGTAATCACCTGACTTGTCGTTCTTTTTGAATTTTATTAGCTAATAACTCAAACTCAAAATTCGATTTGTCACCTGCATAATTTGGCTATCTTCGCATCATAATCCTGGACACCCTAGTGTCCGGAGACTTTTCCTCAAAAATTTTATCCTACGTGATTATGAACCAATAAAAAACATAATTTAGTGTAAGTTCAAAACAAAACGTATTTTTGTCAAAAATCGATTACTTCTCAAGAATTTGCATAAGAAATCACCTTTGAGCCTAGATTTGAGTCATAGCCTTAGCTATGACTTGGCTTAAGTCGTGACTCTTAATTTTTGTGTGATTAATATCACGTTTCCAGTTATTAAAACTACGATTTGAGCCATGGCTACTAGAACCACTGTTTGAGCTATGGCCCAGGTTATGGCTCAAACCACGGCCCAATGGTCACAGCTCAAGCTGGAGCCATGGCTTTTAGGAGCCAAGTCAAGCCATCCAAGCCGATAACAGCTCCAGCTTGGACAACCATGGATATGATGACAATTATAAATCTTGATTTGAATTTACAAATTCATTTTCCAGTGGAGAAATGTAATTTCTGCCTGATTTATTGTCTTTATTTCAAAATATATGCTTAATATCTGTAATTGATAGAAGATTGTAGGTGTTATCATTTGCTTTCTCAGATTTCAAAGTTTAGGTATTACAACTTTGGCTTTTTAAAACTCTAGATTTCAAGGTTAAATACCATTAAAAATTCTATTTATGTTATTATTCGTATCACTATCAATCACTTAGCCTTAACAGAATTAAATTAACTTTAATTGATCTTTTAAATAAATTTATTCAAATTAGGACATACAAAAGTGATGAATTGGTTTTTATGACCCAGCCGGTTCAAAGTTTAGAAACTTGAGAAAAAAATATTGTTTTATATGTTTTAGTAGCAGAGTAGATTTAAAATTTTACACACTTTTATAGAATTTTTAAATATGATTGTTTTTTAAAAAAAAAGCGGCCAGCCGGGTTTGTTTTAAAATCTTATGTTATGAAAACCAAGTAATTAACTTTGTATTATTTTATTTACATTATATTACAATAAATACAACTCGATTTCATTCTAGATATTACGATAAATACAATCAAGTCTAAATGTCCTAAAAGAAGGTATAAACTAAAGGTGAAATATTAGCCTTTTATAATTTAATTTGTATATTTAGATTAGAAAATTTCTTAATTTACCCCAGGTGTGTATACACACATATATACTAATTTATTGATTTACGAATTTGTTTAATACATATTGGCGGATATATAAATTATAAACAATAAATTAGTATAGCCTAAGGTTAGGGTGAGAGTAGCTTTAGGGTTAGAGGAGGTTATAGTTTATACTAAAATTTTGCAAGGAATATTTTTTGTTAGAGCCCAAAAGCTATTATATAATCAGGATTTTAAGATATCAATATATGTGTGTATATACACATGGTGTACAAATAGCAACCGTCTTTAGATTAATAGTCAAATTTCATTAACTGCATCAATAATGATAATTACTATTATCCAGTTATTTTGATGATGATTGCATCATCATCCAATAACGAAGTTATTTGATAATGACGCAATCATCATCAAAAAATAACTCGCGTCATTCTGTTGGTTCGGTCGTGTAACTACCTGGATAATACCGTTATTGAATGCCACGCAGCCAATAACTTGTTTATCTGGCAGCGAATTTTATGGGCCCCTTCGGGGCCCAGAAGCTGACAATTAAAATTCACAGCCGGATAATGGAGTATTTTCAAATAACTCCCGTTATTGGCTGCTTCGCATCCAATAACTCTATATCATTATGCAGTACTATTATCAACTCATACGGTAATACTTTCGAGATCCTGCTATCACGAATTCAGAAAGCAACATTTAGCTAAATAACAGCGTGTAGTTATATGAGCTATGCCCATAGCACAACTCATTCTCATTATAGTTGTAATGAGTTCTCGATATATAGTAAAGATTAATTAAAATTTTGATATACATCTCCTCTTTCTAGTGAATAATTGGGTTTATTAATTATAAAAAAAAAAATCACTTCACTATATAAAGCGTTCGCTATAAAGAGATCTTATTCATGAGTCAAAATTCTATCCTATTAACGAAAAACGAGCAGTTTTTTTTTTATAAAACACGAGGACTATATAATATTTGCATCAGGTCTTGGTTACATAAGCTTATGCATACTGCCTCTTATCCATTTGCTGTAATCTCTACAATATTATTTATACAGCTTAAAGTATTATTTTATATAGATTAAAAGTATTATTTGTACGCTTTAAAGTAGGTTTTAAACGAAATTACGCATGTTAAATATATATAGTCAGACTTTTAATCTCGGCTCAGAAATGTACAATATCCTCTTTAGGAAGTTTTGACTATATATATAATTTTAAAAAATTACGTACGTACTTCATATTACCGGTGCCGCATATAGTTTTTTGCTACAATTTAGAGTTAGAATGTAGTTACAAGGTAATATAGGAGCTAGAATAAAGGTCTAAACTTAGTTAGCATAAGGTTTTTGAGGGTTCTGAACATTTTTACTTAGTACTCCTGACGTGAGTTAGCTACAGTAGGTTTTTGAGATATAGCAGTTGTGGTGATCACCGGTGGTAATAAATAGCAAACTCCATAATTTTATTAATGTTATATGATTCATTCTCGTTTAAAAAGTTAATATATTATCTTTTTATCCGTTCTCAAGAAGTTGTTACTATATCAATTTTTTCTAAGATAGTATTAAGATTAATTTGAAGTGATGCTCTATCATATTAGATAACCATCTATTTTTAACATGGCTATTTTTAAATAAATAAATATAAATTGATAGTCAGTCATATGAATCTTTCTACGCCTGGAACTGGTTACCCGCTTCCCGGTCATCGGTGACCAAAATTTTCAAACTAAGAATCATCGCGCACATACCAATAGTTTAATTAAAAAACCTGCATGATGTAATAAATAAAAAACAGGATTGCATATACAAACTTTATGTAAGATTTCTCTGGGTCATCGATCAGATTGATCTAAAAAAAAATGTACATTAATTAAAACTCCCGAAAATAACTGAATATAATAAGTGACTTTTTTTCCTGTGCTAGACCATTAGATTATATATATATGTAATGCATTTGGTCTTCTTTACACATGATCGGTGCACTAAGGAATGTGGTTAGATCTGTCGGAAACCCAACTTTAAAGTTGTATAAATATTATATAAAAATAAACGAAAAATACAATAGTTATACTGATCATAGTGATTCTTGTTGGTTTAACAAATAGACTTAAGTGTTAAATTTGTATTATAATTTAAAGTACGTGTACTATACATTGATTAATGCGGGTAGTTAACTTCAGTATATTGCTGTAAACTCTTTACACTGATTTGTGTGATGTTTACGAATAACGTGATGAATATCTTCAACAAATATTACCAAGCAGATTTTAGAAAGTGACATTTGTGAATAACGTGATTAAGATCTTCAAGTTTGTACAACAACCCTTACCAATTTACCAATCAAATTTTTTTATTTATGATAATCGATGATGATAAAAAAAAAAAAATCTCTTTTAACCAATCAAGAACCAAAGCTAGACGTTGGAGATAAGTTGGAGATGAGTTTGAATATAATTCTTACAATCTCCTTTAACCAATCAAGAACCAAAGCTAGACGTTGGAGATGAGTCAGAGATGAATCGGGGATGAGTTGGAGATGAATTGGAGATGAGTTGGAGATGAGTCTGAATATACCGTAAATTGCCACATAATCCACCCCTTTATAGAAGACCCCCTTCTAGCAGACCCGGGTCTGTTACTTGGGTTCAGTGAAAGGTAAAAAATATAAGACCCGGGTCTATTATGTGGTCACGTATTATATATTCGTCATAGGATTGCTTGATTTTAATTGGTCAATAATCCTTTCCCGGACAACAGACCCCCTAATAGTAGACCCTCCTCCGTACAGCAGACCCCCGGGTCTGAATCAATTTTCATGCAGGTTTAAAGTAACAGACCCGGGGTGGTTTATGCGGCAATTTACGGTAAATTTTAATATATGTAGAATTTAAACCAACATAATATTTTTTTTTAAAAAAGAACTACGTTCTATAATAACGTTCTATAATAGCAATGAAAATTCACTGATTCGATTTCAAATAAACTTTATTTAGAAGACAATATTTTATAATTCTACATTTTACTATTGCTAGTTTTATGTATCTAAAATTGTATACGAAATAGTCAACTTGAAAAGAAAAAACAAGGCATTCAACGTAAGTTTAATTTTAAAAAAGAATCTTATACATATCGGTTTTATTTTAAATCTTTAAAATATTATTTTATCAAAATTATTGGTGCTAATATCTTGTTTTAATTTAATATTATAGAAATTAAGCTTGTTGGGTTTGTGAATGCAAAAGCAGAAAGTAAATATTAGTGTTTTGTTATTTAATCGACAATATAGATTCAAAGAACATATTTCTAGTAAAAACGCTGATAATTAAAAATTATAATCAATTTACCGTTTAAAATACGCGATAAATAAAAATTAAAGTTTGTTCATAATATTGTAATTTATTATTTACTTATGTTCGCATATTGAATTTTTTTTATTTTTGACGATTTGATTAATCGATAGTCGTGTTTTGATCTACAAACATTAGTCAATCACACGAATATTTATCATCATGTGAGGATTCACACATTTTATATCACATCAATCTGTCCATATGGTAACACGGGAGTTGTATAGTACCCTAGCTTCATAGAAGGACTTTCATTTAATTGGCTGATGTAAATCAATTGCCCGTGTAACTTATTTATACACTTTAAAGTACTTTTCGAGAACATGAAGTTAGTTTATATTTTGTAGATTCTTTAATGAGTTAAGGTTATTAGTAATAAATATCACATTTACTCCACTTTACATGTATTTTCTAATCTTTAATATATGTGGTAAATTCTTTTGTGTGTATTTATGAGTTTATAAGCTTCTTTCTATGGAGTTTTTCATTTTCAAATAGTATTAATTCAATATATAAATCTATTAAAAATTATATAATTTGATTGGTTAATTATTACAAGAAATCATGGATAGATCTACAAAAATTAGCCAATCATATAAACTCTAGTATGAAAAAATTTTATACCAGGGTTTGTTAATCATTATAACGCAGATAAAATTTTTAAAGCTTAAAATATTAGGATTAGTGTTTGAATAAGGTTAGAAATTAGGTGTTTAAATAATAAAATCACTCAAGAAAAACATTTTGTTATAGTACTAAAGGTGGTTTTTTTAATGCAGCTTTTGAGAAATAAGTGATTTTTGATATAATAAATGTTTGTTTTAAAATTTTTTAATTATATTATATTATATCTGATTTATGAAATCTAATTTATAGTTTATAATTTTGTATTATAATAATCAATAAAACCTAGTACAAAATTTTTTTGTACTAAACTTTAGTTGACAAAAAAGAGTAAGTTTACAAACACAATTTTAAATAAGTTAGAAAAAAAAATTCTTAAAAACTTTAAAAATAAAAAAGTAAAGAATAAAATAATCATTCTTTATACAAAATGTAAAACTTAATACTAAGAAATAAGAAAAACCAAAAATCTTATACTACTAAGACAGAGTAAAAGATTAGTTGAGGTTCCTTTCAGAAAAGAAAAAAAAAATGAATATACAGTATGCCTTTCCAAAACCGATCCTGTCAAATAGCCTAGCCAACTATATTTATTTATTATCATGTGACCAGT